TTCCATTTTTATAAAGTTCCATTACCTTGTCACACATGTCTTTTGACAGTTCTTTTTAGCTCCCCATGGCTCAGTATCTACCCTGCATCCACGTGAGAGCTAACAAACTTATTGACTATTTATACACAGACGCTAAATACTATTTAAAAAGACGTGGGAAATTAACCTTTAATTGCCATTTTACCCTGTGTGTGTCACCTTGTGTCTGTACCAAGGCCAAACATTCCAGGGAATGGAAACTTTTGATTAGGGCCATTTGGGTGATTTTTGTTATAATTATGATTTAAAAAGCAGCCAAACAACTATTTGATAATAAATGGCTTATTGTGATCACTATCCTTAAAAAAAAAGGCAGTTTTTGGCATGATCAGTCATATTTTATATATATACATACATATATGTATATATATATATATATATATATATATATATACACATGTATGTATGTATATATGAAAATATGACTGATCATGCCAAAAACTGCCTTTATATATATACACACGCTGTATGTTGAAATGTTTTTTCTATTACAAAATATATGAAAAGTATTTTTAAAAATACACTTTCAAATATACTGTATGTCTTTAGAAATACATTTACTCTACATTTGTGGAATGCATTTACAAATATATGTAAAAATGACTTTTTTATATGTAAAAAAAAATCTGAAGCAAATATTTAAAAAATATATATTTTTAAAAATATTTTTCATTTATTTTGTAATATATAAAAAACGTATTTCAGCATGCAGTATATATATATATATACGGTATATATATATATATATATATATATTTTTTTTTTATTTTTTTTTTTAACCTCTCTAGCGGTCTGATTATGTCAATATTTCTGTGCTCAAGGCGGTACATTTTTTGCATGAAAATATGTTTGTTTGTTTTTTTTATTGTAGGCCTGTAATTCTTAGGATTAAGTTACTGAAATCTGTCCGAACAAGAGTCTAGTAAACATCCTGGAGATGATAAAATTTGAAACATGAAATCATAAATTATAATATAATAAATAATCATAAAAAAATAATAATATAATAATAATAAATTTAATTCAATAATATAATCAAACCAAAAATACTGAAATTTGAAATATAGCGCCAAGTTTGCACAGCACTGAGCAAAGTCGCAGAATCGTTTTCAGTGTCTGATGACGAATTTCCCAACGAATCGTTATCACTAAATTCTGCAAGTAGTTATAATTTACTATCACTGTTCTCTAGCCGGTCTAAAACAGTTTTTGACCTAAAGGGACGCTTTTTGGACGCCATGGACATTTCTCAGTTTCCAGGCAGAAAGAACAGTAAAAATGCAGGCAGGGCGCAGGACTAAGCACTCGGGACAACATGTATGTGAAAGGGTTTGGTTCAGTAATGTAATTCTATGTAATTTTAGTGTATTTAGTGCATTTGTCACTGTTGATCTGTGTTTCCTTTGTGATTAGGTTGGTTAACTGCTTCTTTATGCGGCTATATGCAGTATCTTCCATTTTGCTTGAGGTGATTGTAGCCGTATTAGTGCACTAATACGGCTACAATCACCTCAAGTAAAATAGTGTATTTAGTGAATGTCACATTTTAACATTGTTGAATTTCCTGCCGTTCCGTCCCCCGTACGTCCCGACGCTCGCAGGGAATGGAACCTGGAAGACAGATGCCGGCATCGGCCAGAGGACATGGCCGGGGACGCTGCAGGAGGGACATCGCGGGAGCGCAGGACAAGGTAAGTGAAGAAGAGATCCCGGAGCAACGCTGCAGGGTAATCCCAAGTGTAGCTCGGGGTTACCGCTTGTGGTACTGAAAGTTAACCCCCGAGCTACACTTGGGAATGCCGCCAAAGGGGTTAATATATTGAATATGGCCAAAATTGTAGTATTTCAAATATATTTTTCTTCCATGTGGGTTTGCGCACAACTGTATTTACGTTGTGCCAAGCTGGACCAATATCACTACCCAATGCAGAGCATACCTGGAGTTCAGATTTAACACACTTACCTACCACTGATCTCCACTGTACCCCTGAACTTACACCTGAACTACATTGTAACACTTGCCAGGGGTGTTAGCTGTAAGCCGGGAACCCTGTTTATTAGTAGACTGCAGTGATGTGAAATGATGCAACCACGAATGAAAGGCGTCACTTCTAGTTAAGATAAATTGGTGCCTGTGTGCACTCAGTGGAAGCCATTAGTACGCTCTGTACAATCTTCCTGTCAATTGAGAGAAGCATACAATAAATGAGCTGCCAGTGCAGTTATGAATGGCTGCTCTCCGAAGAGAAAATGAATAACTAAGCTTTTACTCTAATTAAAATGCTGAATGTTTCCATCAGATAACGCCAAAAATACAGATACAAGTTTAGAATATACAAAGAAAGCTGAGCAGGCAAGAGGAAGGAAATATTATTGCCGCTCATTGTTATTCCGGGAGCATTAAGCCTTTTGTCCTTCAGACGACTGTGTTTGCATTAAACATTTATGACATTTCTATAAATGCTTATTAAGAAAATTAATTGTGGATGTACTAATAGTAGTTATTTGCAGCAATGTAGCCATTTAATAAATTACTCGAGATTCTTTACCCAATACAAGTGTTATCATAATGCAAATAATATACAGGTGAAACCTGAAAAATTAGAATATCGTGCAAAAGTTCATTTATTTCAGTAATGCAACTTAAAAGGTGAAACTAATATATGAGATAGACTCATTACATGCAAAGCAAGATAGTTGAAGCCGTGATTTGTTATAACTGTGATGATTATGGCTTACAGCTCATGAAAACCCCAAATCCACAATCTCAGAAAATGAGAATATTCCATGCAATCAATAAAACAAGGATTGTACATAGAACAATATCGGACCTCTGAAAAGTAGAAGCATGCATATGTACTCAGTACTTGGTTTGGGCCCCTTTTGCAGCAATTACTGCCTCAATGCGGCGTGGCATGGAAGCTATCAGCCTGTGGCACTGCTGAGGTGTTATGGAAGACCAGGATGTTTCAATAGCTGCCTTCAGCTCTTCTGCATTGTTCGGTCTCATGTCTCTCCTTGTTCGGTCTCGTGTCTCTCATCTTTCTCTTGGCAATGCCCCATAGATTCTCTATAGGGTTCAGGTCAGGTGAGTTTGCTGGCCAATCAAGCACAGTAATCCCATGGTCATTGAACCGGGTTTTGGTGCTTTTGGCAGTGTGGGCAGGTGCCAAGTCCTGCTGGAAAATGAAGTCAGCATCCCCATAAAGCTTGTCTGCGGAAGGAAGCATGAAGTGCTCCAAAATCTCCTGGTAGATGGCTGGGTTGACCCTGGACATAATGAAGCACAGTGGACCAACACCAGCAGATGACATGGCCCCCCAAATCAACACAGACTGTGGAAACTTCACACTGGACTTCAAGCATCTTGCAGTGTGTGCCTCTCCATTCTTCCTCCATACTCAGGGTCCTTGTGCCTCTCCATTCTTCCTCCATACTCGGGGTCCTTGGGTCTCTCCATTCTTCCTCCATACTCTGGGTCCTTGGTTTCCAAATGAGATGCAAAAGTTGCTCTCATCAGAAAAGAGGACTTTGGACCACTGAGCAACAGACCAGGTCTGTTTTTCTTTAGCCCAGGTAAGACGCTTCTGATGTTGTTTGTTGTTCAGGAGCGGCTTGACAAGAGGAATACGACATTTGAAGCCCATGTCCAGGATCCATCTGTGTGTGTTGGCTCTTGATGCACTGACTCTAGCCTCAGTCCACTCCTTGTGAAAGTCCCCAAAACTTTTGAATGACCTTTTCCTGACAATCCTCTCTAGGCTGCAGTCATCCCTGCTGCTTGTGCACCTTTTTCTTCCACACTTTTCCCTTCCACATAACTTTCTATTAATGTGCTTTGATACAGCACTTTGGGAACATCCAACTTCTTTTGCAATTACCTTTTGAGGCTTTCTCTCCTTATGGAGGGTGTCAATGATGGTTTTCTGCACAACTGTCAGGTCAGCAGTCTTTCCCATGATTGTGATTCCTACTGAACCAGACTGAGAGACTATTTAAAGGCTCAGGAACCCTTTGCAGGTGTTATGGCTTAATTAGCTGATTAGAGTGGGACACTTTGAGCCGAGAATATTGCACTTTTTCACAATATTCTCATTTTCTGAGATTGTGGATTTGGAGTTTTCATGAGCTTTCTTTACAAGTTACCTTTTCGTGGAGCGGGTTCAGTGTCACCCCGTAAAGATTGCATGCCGATGATCCCCGCAGGATGGATCGGATCTGCGGACTGAGGAGCATAATGGATCGGACTCCGATCCATTATGCTCAATCCACAGACCAGAACCATCCTGTGTTTTAGTACCCCCCCCCCCAGCGCTGTGCAAACCCAACTACTTTAACCTGTAAATGACTAAACATTCTGGACCTAACATTGCTCATATGATCATGTGGCTGCAATGGGTTTACAGGCTAGCTGCACGCCAACAGGTGGGACAGTGCTGCAACCTCCTACCGGGTACTCGGTCTGGAAGGTTCCCAATAACCGGTGGATATTTATTCAGCTGTATTCCACTCATTTGTAATACAGGATCACCGTACATGCTGACTTACTGGGGTGCCTGCTTTTTCTGTGGACTGTGAAGCTGAACGGCAGCCTGACTATACAAAAAAAGGTGTTTAACCACTTGCCCTCCAGAGGATTTACCCCACCACCTTCCTGAGCAGGCCATTTTTGCGATATGGCGCTGCGTTACCATAACTGACAATTGCGCGGTCATGCAACGCTGCACCCAAATGAAATTTATGTCCTTTTTTTCCCCCACAAATACAGCATTCTTTTGGTGGTATTTGAGTTTTTTTTATTTTTTGCTCTATAAACTAACAAGGGCTTTAACCCTTCCCTGTTCTAATAAAAAAAAAAACACACAAACTTTAAATATGTCTAATACTTAGAAAGGAAAAGAGAATCATATTTTTCTATAAAAAAGGTATCAAAAATTCATCAGTTGGAGTTTACTACTTACCTGGCGATCATAACTGATTTGAGTCTCCTGTTCAATGTCTGAGTCTAGTTCGGGCACATCAGATAGATCTGAATCCGATTCTTCACTGCAGGAATCAATAATCCCCTCTGAGAATAACAAAAGGACAATGTCAGCTGTGTGCTATCATTTATATGCAATACTAGAATAGTCTGGAGGCACAATGCAAGCATTCGTAGCGTTCACTATAGATTGGGGACATTTTATAACACACTGAAAGATTCCAACAACCATCGCATGATTGTTCCCATTTCTTCAAAAACCATCTCAAAGTATTCCTCAAAATTTAAAGCCTACGTTCAGCCAATTTTTTTTCTTGTTTTAGAGATTTGGTTTTTTAAAGTGGTATTAAATCCAAAAGTGAACATTTGGCCTTACTTTCTGCCACAGTCACCACATAAACCTAGTATTCAAAATAGGGCTAAGGAACTCTCACCAAACCCAAAATCATAGGTGGCATTGGGCTACCAGATTTCGCACTATACCATAAGGTGTCACTTCTAGCTAGGATTGTAGAGGTCTCTCCTCTCTCCCACTCATGGCACTTCTCTTGGTAGACCCAGCACACCTTCCCACGCCTGATGCTCTTCCTCTTTTAATCACCTCTCTGCTCTATTCGTGGATCTTTAAGACAGTCTTCTAGACCTGACCCCAATTCCCTACAACCCCCAGTTTCCACCTGGCATGTTCCCAACCTCCTTCTTAAATCTGAACAATATTACAAAAATGCAAATACACCATCTCTTCCATTCCTGACTCTAGCCAACTGAGGCCCCAACATGAACCCTCAACCTCAATCCACCATAAAGGATTAGTACAAAACAAGGTAACTATCCAACTACATCAGGTCCATCAAAAGGGGGGACACTAAATCGCTTCCTGACAAAGTTTGAATGCTTATGCCCCTCTTCAACAGCAATACCGCAAGTAGTATCGGAGAGAAAGACCACCCCTTGAATGGGCTTGGAAAGACAGCCATTAGAGGACAAGGGAAGGGCTACAGCATATATTCTGAAGCACGCTCTTGTCCTGTCAACCAAAATCCAGGAAATTTTTTTTTATCTCAGTGGTACAGATGACCATTCACCTTCATGCTTTAGTGGGTCTTTTTGCCTTGCTCTGGATCAACTGTGGGTGTAGGATTATAACTTTTTTTTTTCCGTAATGGTTGAACTGGATGGACTTTTGTCTTTTTTCAGCCAGACTAACTATGTAACATGGTCAGGCTAAGCCATGTTCAGATCCTCCAAGGTATTCCTCAACCTCTTCACATCTTAATAACCAAACCACTTGGTGTCAACATTTTATTTATAGTTCATACATAAACGGTGATCTTCGTCACATCTTCCACCTCTCCCTCTTTGTCTCTTCCCTCCTTTCATGATACAAGCAATATCCCTCTTTTAAATACCAATAAAAAAAAAAGATTTAACCAAAAATGTGGCCAAGGCTCAAATTGGCTGGAGTGCCACTTTAAACCTCCAGTGTTGTACCTGACTTATGGTTACATCCTATAAGAATTCTACGTTACATTTAGAAACTAGAATCCAAGAATGTACAGCAGCACTGAAGTACAAGAATTATACTAACGACATTCTGGATGTACCCCAATTGTATATGTTTCCAGGATGCCGAGCTAGACAATATGCAGGTACTGGAAGCTATATGCTTACTAATGGGAGGTAACTCCATCTGTCAAATGTATGTTCAAGTTTTAAAAATAGAAGTGCTAGCTGTAATTTTGCTCTATCTTAGGCAGAATGGGCACAGTCAAATAATGAAGTGATTACCCCTTGATCTGGACACATACTAATGAACAGTATCATGTAGGGACTGGCATTTTCCAACACTTGCTTGTTATCCTTCATATACATATGTCAAGGTGGGGCGGTTTTCTGCAAATGCCAGTAAATGATTGAGAAAAGGGGTGGGTGGGGCTTTGTGGCTTCTTAGCCTAAATAGTTTTCACCAATGTCGGGACACATTTCATGACGTAGAGTTATCTCATGCTCTATTGGCTCCTGTGGCCCTTCACACTTGAGCGTTTTGTACCTGGTAGCTCGAAGCTCAAAAATGCTCAACAAGCAAAAATGTGTTCAATAGTCCTTGTTCAAATCTGGGCATTCCGTCACTTGTAGCAAAATGCCTGTTGCTCAAAAAAGTACATGAACTACTTTTCAGGCAGAATTGGATACTTTTGTCCCCATAGACTTCAATGGAAATGCCTGAAAAGAGCGACATGAGCTTTTTTCAAGCGTTTTGTTGCGCGTTTTCTTCTCAAACAGCAGCTCTCTTCCCCTTTTTCAACAGCATTACACACCTTTAGTTGAAAAATGGCTGGAAAAAATGCCAGCCAAAAGCTGCAAAAACGTGCAATTCTGCTCCAAAAAACGCTCAAAAACGCTTGAAAACCTGACACTTAGGTGTGAATGTAGTCTGAGAAGATGTTCAAGACCCAAGACATAAAGTGGTGTATTTAAAACAAAAATATGTATAACTATTCATCCAGCGAAACTGCTGATACCTTTGTTCTGTGAGAATGCCCACATGGAAGAAAAACATATTTGAAATATATTTTAAAAATATTCTTCCCAAATATATTGACATATATCTGAAATACTACAATTCTGGCGATATTCAATATATTTCAATATATATATTACATGTTGAAATGCGTTTTTTTATATATTATAAAATATATGAAAAATATTTTTAAAAATATATATTTTATATATTCTTCAGATTTTTTTTAACATATAAAAAAAGGAATTTTAACATATGTTAGTAAATGTATTCCAAAAATGTAGATTAAATGTATTTTTAAAGACATACAGTATATTTGAAAACCTATTTATAAAAATATTTTTCATACATTTTGTAATAAAAACGCATCTCAACATACAGTGTGTGTGTGTGTATATATATATATATATATATATACACAGTGGGGATCGAAAGTTTGGGCACCCCAGCTAAAAATTTGTATTAATGTGCATAAAGAAGCCAAGGAAAGATGGAAAAAATCTCCAAAAGGCATCAAATTACAGATTAGACATTCTTATAATATGTCAACAAAAGTTAGATTTTATTTCCATCATTTACACTTTCAAAATAACAGAAAACAAAAAAAATGGCGTCTGCAAAAGTTTGGGCACCCTGCAGAGTTAATATCTTGTACTGCCCCCTTTGGCAAGTATCACAGCTTGTAAACGCTTTTTGTAGCCAGCCAAGAGTCTTTCAATTCTTGTTTGAGGTATCTTTGCCCATTCTTCCTTACAAAAGTCTTCCAGTTCTTTGAGATTTCTGGGCTGTCTGTCACGCACTGCTCTTTTAAGGTCTATCCATAGATTTTCAATTATGTTGAGGTCAGGAGATTGTGAAGGCCATGGCAAAAACCTTCAGTTTACGCCTCTTGATGTAATCTCCCGTGGATTTCGAGGTGTGTTTAGGATCATTATCCATTTGTAGAAGCCATCCTCTCTTTAACTTCAGCTTTTTCACAGATGGCACCAAGTTACCATCCAAAAATTTGCTGAAATTTTATTGAATCCATTTTTCCTTCTACTCGTGAGATGTTCCCTGTGCCACTGGCTGCAACACAACCCCAAAGCATGATTGATCCAACCCCATGCTTAACAGTTGGACAGAGGTTCTTTTCATTAAATTCTGTGCCCCTTCTTCTCCAAACAAACCTTTGCTCATTCTGGCCAAAAAGTTCAATTTTAACCTCATCGGTCCACAGAACATGTTTCCAAAATGCATCAGGCTTGTCTATATGTTCATTTGCAAAGTTCAAACGATGATTTTTGTGGTGAGGACGTAGAAGAGGTTTTCTTCTGATGACTCTTCCATGAAGACCATATTTGTACAAGTATCTCTTTATAGTGGAATAGTGTACCACAACTCCAGTGTCTGCCAGATCTTTCTGGAGGGATCGTGCAGTCAAACGTGGGTTTTGAATTGTTTTTCTCACAATCCTGCGAGCTGTTCTGTCTGATATTTTTCTTGGTCTTCCAGATCTTGCTTTAACTTCCACTGTTCCTGATGACTGCCATTTCTTAATTACAATCCGAACAGAGGATATTGACATCTGAAAACGCTTTGCTATCTTCTTATAGCCTTCTCCAGCTTTGTGAGCGTCAACTATTTTCAGTTTCAGTTTTCTAGACAACTGCTTAGAAGAACCCATGGTGCTGATTGTGGAACTTGGGGGCTGGGTACAATCCAGATGATCTGTGGCATTACAACGTATATTTTGGTTGCAGTTTTTCACCTATTTGTGTTTACCATCCCACCTCAGGACGTCCACTCACCAATTGGGATCTCTCCTGCACTATTTGAAGAATTGAACCCTCAGAGTGATATCATGCATGTTTATATATCATTGTGTGTATAAACTGTACTCTAGTTTTTAGCGCTGCACCATTTATTTATTATATATGTTTGTTTTGGAGGTTTTACTTGGTTACCTTTTCGGTGTATCAGCTGCTCACTAACGGTTTTGTGTATACACATTGATACACTTTTTGCATTTAAGTCGCGCTCACTTTAACATCTTTTATTACCATGGTGCTGATTGTTGGGGCAAGGTCAGATGAGTCTGGGCATTTAAAACCTTTGAGATTGACATCCCCTGGTCTTCCCAGACGATGATTGAGAACAATCCATGACACTGGCAGGTCTCAGCTTGGCAAAGGGGGCAGTGCATGCTATAAAATCTGCAAGGTGCCCAAACTTTTGCAGACGCCATTTTTTGTTTTCTGTTATTTTGAAAGTGTAAATGATGGAGATAAAATCTAACTTTTGTTGACATATTATAAGAATGTCTAATCTGTAATTCGATGCCTTTTGGAGATTTTTCCATCTTTCCTTGGCTTTTTTATGCACATTAATACAAATTTTTAGCTGGGGTGCCCAAACTTTCGATCCCCACTGTATATATATATCTATATATATATATATATAGATATATATATAGAGATAGATATATATATGGGCAGCACAGTGGCTAAATGGTTAGCACTTCCGCCTGTACATAGTGTACATGGACACATAGGAAAACATTAGGGAGAGTTCAAGGGCTGCTGCA